GGGCAAGTTTGGGTTGAATTTGGGCTGATTTCAGGTTAGAATTTGGGTTGAACAATGATGGCTCGAAATCAACATATATCATTATATCTGAAATGAAAGTATAAAATCAATATATCATTATGACTAAGCAAAAATTTTTGAACAAAATATTAAATCTGAAAATAAAAATGAAATCAAAATCTGAAAAATAAAATTTTAAAGTTTAATTTTGGCAAATTTTAAAAATAAATTTTACACTTTTGATCTTAAAATGGAACACCATGTTGTTTACTCTAGGTCCAAACCCATACATTACCACAGAAAGAAAGTCGGAGGGGGAGAGACTAAGAGAGAGACCGAGTTCATCCAAGTTGGAGCATGTCTAGAAGTGGAAAGAGAAGCACTCGTTGTCTGATCCAGCAACCCCGATGGTTGTGATCCAATTTGAGGGTCGAAGATCTAAGGGCAAAGATCTGATGGCTGTGGACTATGGAGAGAGATCTTGGGTTATTGATGGCAAAGATCTGATTGCAAAAATTTGAGAGTCGAAGATCTTGGGTTGTTGGAGAATGGTGGAGAGAGATGATTTTGTTTGTTGATTAAGAAGCTATTAAGAGAGTTGGCAGAGTGAGTGAGGGTACCTTTTATGTAAGACTGTTAGATCACAATCTAATGGTCACCAAACAAAGATGCTCAAAACTAATTGTTAAGATCTACTTAATTTAATTTTTAACTAANTAAGTATAAAATGTTCAACCTTCACCCAACCTCAATCCGAGATACTCAACCCGAACACTGCCCGAATTGATTTTGGGCAAGTTTGGGTTGAATTTGGGCTGATTTCAGGTTAGAATTTGGGTTGAACAATGATGGCTCGAAATCAACATATATCATTATATCTGAAATGAAAGTATAAAATCAATATATCATTATGACTAAGCAAAAATTTTTGAACAAAATATTAAATCTGAAAATAAAAATGAAATCAAAATCTGAAAAATAAAATTTTAAAGTTTAATTTTGGCAAATTTTAAAAATAAATTTTATACTTTTGATCTTAAAATGGAACACCATGTTGTTTACTCTAGGTCCAAACCCATACATTACCACAGAAAGAAAGTCGGAGGGGGAGAGACTAAGAGAGAGACCGAGTTCATCCAAGTTGGAGCATGTCTAGAAGTGGAAAGAGAAGCACTCGTTGTCTGATCCAGCAACCCCGATGGTTGTGATCCAATTTGAGGGTCGAAGATCTAAGGGCAAAGATCTGATGGCTGTGGACTATGGAGAGAGATCTTGGGTTATTGATGGCAAAGATCTGATTGCAAAAATTTGAGAGTCGAAGATCTTGGGTTGTTGGAGAATGGTGGAGANTACTTTTGATCTTAAAATGGAACACCATGTTGTTTACTCTAGGTCCAAACCCATACATTACCACGGAAAGAAAGTCGGAGGGGGAGAGACTAAGAGAGAGACCGAGTTCATCCAAGTTGGAGCATGTCTAGAAGTGGAAAGAGAAGCACTCGTTGTCTGATCCAGCAACCCCGATGGTTGTGATCCAATTTGAGGGTCGAAGATCTAAGGGCAAAGATCTGATGGCTGTGGACTATGGAGAGAGATCTTGGGTTATTGATGGCAAAGATCTGATTGCAAAAATTTGAGAGTCGAAGATCTTGGGTTGTTGGAGAATGGTGGAGAGAGATGATTTTGTTTGTTGATTAAGAAGCTATTAAGAGAGTTGGCAGAGTGAGTGAGGGTACCTTTTATGTAAGACTGTTAGATCACAATCTAATGGTCATCAAACAAAGATGCTCAAAACTAATTGTTAAGATCTACTTAATTTAATTTTTAACTAAATAGAAAATGTTTATGACTTATTAATTGTGATCTAGTCCTATAAGGAAAGCTCTATTTATTTTTTTGAAATTCAATATAAGTAAATATTTTTACCCTTTTACATATGTCAGACGGGTTGACCCACTATGTGGGTTCAATTGGGGTACGCCATTGTTGGGTAGATCTTTCCAACTCTTTGGTCAAATTACTAGCTTATCCTATTTTCTTTCTTTTTTTTTTTATTATTATATAAACATCAGTTTCTCCTATTTATCTTTCTCTCTTAACTTTCTAATCAACCCAATTTTTTTTAATAGAAACATTAGGCATGTCATTCTCCTATCAAGACACAAAAACAAAGCACCACCCATGAAAAATATCAACTCGTGACACATTACACATGTTTGACTTGTTTATTATAACAATAAATCATAACTGAACAAAAAAGTAAAGAAAAAAAAACATTAAATTACTATTAAATTCAAATGAGTTTGAGAGATAGGAGGCATGACATAAGACTGAAGATGAGAGACCTAAAATTTTTTTTTTAATTTAACAGGTTAAACGGGTTGAAACGAATTTATGAGTTAAACAAANCATTAAATTACTGTTAAATTCAAATGAGTTTGAGAGATAGGAGGCATGACATAAGACTGAAGATGAGACCTAAATTTTTTTTTTTAATTTAACAGGTTAAACGGGTTGAAACGAATTTATGAGTTAAACAAACTAGTTCGTTTATTTCACAGGTCTGCGAGTTAACCCACTAACCACCCAAACCTGTTAAGACTGCACCCAAGCTCGTTAAATCTGTGTCGGATTCGTGTCGATTTCATGAGTCGTGTCTAGTATTGCAAGGCCTACTTACAACAATGGGTTATCCCCTTCTTTTCTTTCTTTCTCTTCCATCCCCTTGTCAATTTGGTATCAAAGCAATCTCTGAGTCATCCCTCTATTGTTATTTCCCTCCATTTGCTGCCATTAACTTGAATGTTCACCGACAAACTAGAGCTTTGCTCTTGCTCATAACATTAATTTGTTGCGACTGAACCTTTATAAAATATGGTTGCACTGAATAAGTTCATTAATATACTTAGAATTGAGGTAGATTTGACCCGGTCCTATTTCTTGGCACCAAAGTCCCCAATCAATTCCACATTTACTTGGCCCAAATCCAAAGCCAACCCTATCCCATATCTTCAAATAACCTAGATAAGTCCCTACCCAGAATAGCCCACAGAACAGGCCCAAGCAACTCTATCAAGCGATCCCAACCAATGAACTCATTCCCTTCTGACCAGCCCAATAATTCTAAAAATTAAAGTTTGATCCTAGCGGTTTGACAAAATTATAGAGTCCTCCTATCTATACTGACTCACATTGGAAGGAAGGTATGTTTTGTTGATCATGTTTTGGTGATTAAGCCGGAGAGGGAACCATTCCTTCATGCTCGCCTAATTCTGATCTCGCTTGTTTTTTTCCGCTTTCCTTGCATTATTGTCTCACTTAGCTTATGTCATTCGACTCCTCATAAATGATGTTAGAATCGGCCGACTTATCCTTGAAATTCGAAAAGAAAACAAAGGCAGAACGAAATCATTTTGTTTTTGTTTCAGTGACATATTTAATCATACTGAATCAGATCGGAGGAGTTGTCCCGATCATTCACATCAATTTTAGATGGCAAGAAATACGCGGAAGCTACCATTTTTAGAATGCAAGAAAGCTAACTTGCTTACTCTCATAGTAGCGTACGTTGGCAGCAATGAAGGAGGCATTGGAAATACTAGCCCATACTAAAATAAAGAGGTATTCGGTAGCGACTAGTTGCTTCCGCTTCTAGTGAAGCTTCTAGAAGGCCAAGAGAGATCCNTGTAGCGTACGTTGGCAGCAATGAAGGAGGCATTGGAAATACTAGCCCATACTAAAATAAAGAGGTATTTGGTAGCGACTAGTTGCTTCCGCTTCTAGTGAAGCTTCTAGAAGGCCAAGAGAGATCCATATACAGTCATTAGCGATAGCGAAGCCTTTAGAGCTTCACGAATTACTAATTGAACCCAAAATTTTTTGAAATTATAGGTTGGCCCCTCAAAAGTTTTAAAAATTATAGTTTGGCCCCAAAGGCTTCTAAAATTGTAGATTAACCCCAAAAATTTTCACCTCACTCCTCTTATCAAAATGGTCACCAACATTGAGTTACTTGGCAAGATTGAGGGTTTTTCCAAAGCACATGATGTGAAACTAAATTCGATCGAGTCGTCAGCGCCAAATGAAAGTGTCCACAAGTTGGTCTGCGTAAAAGAAATTGTCCACAAGTTGGCTGTTGTTTTGGAAGTTCAGCTACCAATCAGCAAGTGTTTGGACAAGACAGATAGTGTTTCATCTTTTTCAACCATCAAATATCAACAAGGGTTGGAACAGGTCATTCCAAATGAAGCTCAGAAATTTTTCAATGAGCCTAAGAGTTTTTCTCAACCACTCCCTGGTACTGATAAGCAACTTTGAAGAACCTTTTCTATGGACGAGGTTAAACTAGTTTCAAAAGTTGGTTTGACAATTAGAGATGCTACACCAGTCACATTATTTCTTTATTTTTATCATCATGTGTGGACCTGATCAATTCTGAAAATGTATTTGGCCAGTCTACTTCAACTCAATTGAAGTATTTTTGCTATTACAACTCTTTAGAGAAGAGTTTGTTTCAGCCGGGGAGAATTGATAGGAATCGTAAAGGGATTAGATAGGCATAAAATTGGAGATTAGGATTTTATTTATTTCCTTTATTTATTAGATTATTTGGTTAGCTAATATAATCCATTACGAGATTTAGATAGAGTTTTAGCTAGAGAATATTTTTTATTTTGGTATGACAATTGCCTTATAAATAATGGTGCAACCCCAATTATTTTATGGAGAAATATGTTTCTTGACTTCATCCTTGTGAGGATTGGTCATCCCCTTCTTTACTTCTTTCTTTCACTTCCCTGCCTGCGACAGCCAGCTTGCTCACAAAAAAGCAGCCAGTACGATTACAGCTTTACGTGATAAGGCATTAAGCATTTCATGCCTCAATCCCAGCAGATCCCCAATTTCGGTTATGAAATGAAAGTGAAAAATAAAGAACAGAAAATAGGGCGAACTGAAAGGTGTCTTATCAAGTACAAGAAGCACATCTAATTAATTCAAGCTTACCCAAGTTGGGAATACTTTTGGGGCAGCATTGCAGCAATTTTATCTGTAAACTGCAGATATAACAGGTCAGATAAGCACAGTGATAGAATCTCCCCAGATGTCAGGATAAATGGAACATCTCAAATAGATCCAAACCTGAAGAACTGGCCGGTATACAGATGCTGCAAGATACATTCCTTGCTCAGGTAAGACTGCTGCAGTCCCATAACCTTCTTGGAGTACATTTGGACCCCTCCTACTCCATCCTTGCCGAATGAGATCAACCCCTGAGAAACAGTGATACAGACCACCTTGAAATTAATTAAGAATGTAATCAATGAAATCAACTGACAGAGAAAAGACAACTGAAAAAAACTTTGGACAGGAATGCTGATGTGATGCTGCCCCCCCCAAATGCATATAACTTTTCAACTTTAACATGTTTTTCTAACATGTTTTTCCTTTTATTTTCACACAGATCCCAAACATACAAACACCTAAAGGCATTGAATGTCATTCAGACTTGAAAACAACTAGTCTTGTGTTGAGAAAAGAGGTAAGTGTTCCCATCAGAATTTTCATTGATAAAAGCACTGGGTNAAACACCTAAAGGCATTGAATGTCATTCAGACTTGAAAACAACTAGTCTTCTGTTGAGAAAAGAGGTAAGTGTTCCCATCAGAATTTTCATTGATAAAAGCACTGGGTAAGTGCTTACAGGTTTGTCTTACTCAAAAAAAAAAGTGCTTAAACGATGTAAGCATCAACATGCCTACAACCTCCTAGTTAGCAACTTAACAAGCTCTGTCCAATAACTCAAGTTAAGCAATATAACTCACAAGGTTCCAACATGAAGATGAAAAAATCCACTGTTTGGAAAGTTTAACAGAGGGTTCTGAATTCACATTCTCACTTGTTAAGTTCATGTCTTGAGGTACTATAATATGGTCTGCAACACCAGTCAAAGAACTGTAGCAACATAATAGAATAGAAAGTAGATGGTCACTTTAATCATCCAGGAGAAACGCACAAGAAAGACAACTCTGAGGCTTAAAACATAAAGATGCTGCCTCCCAGGCCTGCCTTTCTCATCTGTGGGCCCAGCACCATGCCAGGTATTTAGCAATTCCACCACAGAACAAAGCATAACTCTGAGCACAGAAAAAGGGAAAACAGTATGCATCAAAGAGCGCTAGCAGTCATTCATTACATGAAGAGATTATTCCTATTCTCCCTCACACATGCATTAACCACTTCGGAAGCACTTTCTCTCACCATCTCAAATTATCTTTTCTGACTATCACTTTCAGTGTTGCGGGACAAAAAACTTTGGTATGGTATGCCTTTCAAAGTGAACTTGGCCTGCCTCTATGGTCTATGCACAAAAGGGACCTCACCTCACCCTAAACTTGTCGCTTTCACCAGCCTTCCAATGTATTGCATCTTTCACGCCTCTAGGATAAAGGCAACCCAAAGGTATCCGTAACTCTACCTAAACAATCCTACAATGCCCCGATAAATGTAGGCTCCACTTTTGTTAACAAGACATAGTAAGCAATATAAGTTCCTTTATTGGAAGCTCGCCTCTTTGAAGGGGTCATCCCTTGGACATACATCGAGTCAAATTTCCCTTAGAGGCTGAATTCGTTCAATAATTTGATACCTCAACCACCACCTTTTAAAGGAGAATAAGCAGGGCTTTAACCTACCAAAATAATTATTACTAAACAAATTTGATTAACTTATTATCGTCTCTTTTTGAGCATTGTGATTTCATTTTAATACATAAAAAATAAACTATTTATATTCAACAATTTAATCTCCCGTGACCTTTTCAACTTTATAATGTTTCTGCGACTATGGCAGGTGATCCCATGGTGATTATCTAATATGCAAAACTAAAGATGCGTTCTCTTTTCTATAGGATGATGTAATGTATATCCCATATACATGGAACAGTTGTTAATTATGAAAGAGAATAGAATATAAATCCACCTAAACCAAAAAAAAAAATAAGTAAAAAATGTTGCTACGCATCTATTGTTCAATGACACAACAAAAGGACAACATGAGCTTGATTAAAAACAGCAACAGTACAGCCTTTGCGTACCCTGGTTGGGAATAGAAACAGTAGCATCTGTGAAGCGAAAAGCAAAGGTAAGGCCATCTTCTGACCCATCCCTGTATGAGATCAGCATCAGTATGCCAGCACTACACATCAATTATATCCAAAAGGAAAATCAAACTGTAAATATGCAAACATGTCGAGCTGAAGGGAGCTGGATGCACTACATACAATCACAAATGTTATTTCACACAGGTAGCAGTGACAAATCCGGGAGAACTACCCTGAATAGGCCATAGAAAAGTTTAAAGATTAAAAAATCATGTGTGGTATAGCATTCATTTTAATGTAAAGAACAAAAATTTGAAGCTTCGAACCTGATGGTAAAATCAAAGAAAAAATTAATATTCACATACTTGTATTTGAGTTGGGGCTTGACAAATTTTGAGATTCTGACTCATGATATTGCACGGCTCGTTTGTCAGGTCAATCAACTGCTTGATTGTTTAACTCTTGAAAAAGGAAGAAATATACCTACAACTTTCCCTATTTATGATGATGTAGCAATGAACTGACAGAAGTGATACCAGTGTAGTGTCGAATAAATTAGAGAGAAAATAAGCCAGAAGCTAAAAAAATGGAAATATTAAAGAAACTCCTTGAATAATTGATATTGGACATTTTTTAAGTTTCGCATTTCCCGTTGGTCGTAATATGCGCTTTTGCGCTTCCCTTAAACTGCATTCAGAACCATTTTCTTTTCCACTTTCTGATGGAAAAACCATTTCGTGGGGGAGTTATGAATTGGCCTTCTCAAAGATAACATAATGACACTCGGAGACACTTGAAGAGACCAGTGACGACTTACAATAGGACTGAGATATCACAGACACCATAAATTTGGAACAATGTAGGAATATGTATATGCTTTGGATGTAACAGATATGTGATCCCAACCAACCAAACAAATTGTGAACCATGCAGAGAACTAGTGAACCCAAGAATTGGCTTCACCAGCAATTGGCATAAGCACGAGTGAGGCAAATAATGGACAACAAAAGAACACACATGCTGCATTCACATGAAAATAATCCTGGATTCTTTCTCGGCACTCTTTTTTTGTTTTGAGGAGCGGGTGGATTCGGGAAGAAAAAATAAAAAATAATAAAATGATTGACAGGCACATGGACATGAATGAGACAAGAAAGCTTCCAATGAAGCAGCACATTTGAAGCTAGTGAAGTGAGTTTGAATACCCAAAAAGATGTGACAGATCAGTTATGCATATCAAAATGAGAAAGAGCTGACTTCTATACATGAGTAGTCAAGCAGTTTTGTAAAAACCANGGCTAGTGAAGTGAGTTTGAATACCCAAAAAGATGTGATAGATCAGTTATGCATATTAAAATGAGAAAGAGCTGACTTCTATACATGAGTAGTCAAGCAGTTTTGTAAAAACCAAGTCAGATCTGACCTTTTACACATTTATTGGTTTCCAAAATCAGTTTGCAAGAGAACTCTTGTTTACGACTTTTAAATTCAATTTTTCATGAGAAATTACCACATAGCTAGAACAAGGCTCTACTGAGTGGAGATGAATCAAATGCAGAAATAGTGAGGTCTGGTATTGGCTGATAAAAATCAATGATTATTTAACTGCAACCTTTCAGGACCCTCACAACTTTGCACTNTTGAGTGGAGATGAGTCAAATGCAGAAATAGTGAGGTCTGGTATTGGCTGATAAAAATCAATGATTATTTAACCGCAACCTTTCAGGACCCTCACAACTTTGCACTGATCCGATAACAAAAGGATGTAAACAAGGATCAAAATATCANCTGAGTGGAGATGAATCAAATGCAGAAATAGTGAGGTCTGGTATTGGCTGATAAAAATCAATGATTATTTAACTGCAACCTTTCAGGACCCTCACAACTTTGCACTGATCCGATAACAAAAGGATGTAAACAAGGATCAAAATATCATTTCGGTGTATTGTTTCAATCACCTAGGAAACGGAAACGTTTCGATGTGTTTCGAAAACGTTTCGACCCGTTTCGGAAGCATAATGAAAAAAATAAAAAATTTAAGAATTATTTTTCTAAAATATTAATGAAAATATATCAAAATATCTTAAAATACCACAAAACATTCTAAAACAATTGTGCAAATGCATTGAAATATTATAATACATTTAAAAATTTTATGGAATACTTCAAAATATCAGACTTTCGATTCCATCACTGTTTCGTTTCGGTCTTCTTAGAAACGGAAACATTTCGGACGTTTTGACCGTTTCGAAACGATATTTTGATCCTTGAATGTAAAGACACCAGATATGATGTCAATCCAGCTATTAACATCTAGTGGAAACCACCATTCTACAATTAAGAGCTATCATTTGATGCGTATTTTTTCCTATTTTCACTTTTGTTTCTTTTGGTTACTAGATGTTAAGGAAACTTACTATTTGATGTTAAGTTTCACCAACGTGGCAACTTTCAACATGTCCACNCTTTCGATTCCATCACTGTTTCGTTTCGGTCTTCTTAGAAACGGAAACGTTTCGGACGTTTTGACCGTTTCGAAACGATATTTTGATCCTTGAATGTAAAGACACCAAATATGATGTCAATCCAGCTATTAACATCTAGTGGAAACCACCATTCTACAATTAAGAGTTATCATTTGATGCGTATTTTTTCCTATTTTCACTTTTGTTTCTTTTGGTTACTAGATGTTATGGAAACTTACTATTTGATGTTAAGTTTCACCAACGTGGCAACTTTCAACATGTCCACAAGCAAAGATCAAAATTCCATTTCAGTGCATTGTTTCAATCACCTAGAAAACGGAAACATTTTGACATGTTTTGAAAATGTTTCGACCCGTTTTGAAAAAAAAATGAAAAAAAATAAAACATTAAGAATTATTTTTTCAAAACATTGGTCGAAATATACCAAAATATTTTGAAATACATTGAAACATTCTGAAATAATGGTGCAAATACATTGAAATATAACAAAACATTTCGAAACATTATGGAACACCTCGAAGTATTAGAATTTTAATTACATTACTAATTCATTTTGGTCTCCTTGGAAATGAAAACATTTCGGATGTTTCGACCATTTCAAAACAATATTTTGATCCTTGTCCACAAGGCACATATACCAATTCACAAGCCTACACATTTCCAACATGAAGAAAAATCTACCATGAAGAAAAATCTACCACAACCCNCAAATACATTGAAATATAACAAAACATTTCGAAACATTATGGAACACCTCGAAGTATTAGAATTTTAATTACATTACTAATTCGTTTTGGTCTCCTTGGAAATGAAAACATTTCGGATGTTTCGACCATTTCAAAACAATATTTTGATCCTTGTCCACAAGGCACATATACCAGTTCACAAGCCTACACATTTCCAACATGAAGAAAAATCTACCATGAAGAAAAATCTACCACAACCCTCCCCCTTGTGTCCAACCACCACTTGCATGTGGAGAGGGAAACAGAGACTGAACCATAGAACCAGAACCAAGTGCACCGAATGTAAAAATAAAAGAAAAAGACAAAACCAAATCAAATTTCAACAGCACAACCTCCCAAAACCCAGAACATTGTAGAGTTGGCATATATGCCTACCCTGGAGCTGGTTTCTTACATTATCAGAGCTGCCCATTTTCTGCAGTTTGGTATGACTTTATGTACACTCACTGATAACATTAGCTTTTAAAGCAACCAGTGGCTTAACAAATCACACAATCATATGACCATTTATCCATTTTTCCTTCCAAAAAGAAACATTTAAAATGTGGAATTTGCCAGACATATCAAAATTGGCACAAGGTCTTGGAGATCCCACGCCAACCACAAATGAACCATCTTCACTACCCACAACCGCCGGCACCACCATAGCATCACTTTGACCACCATACCACCAGATTGCAGTGACATCACCACCAAATTCAATACCCTCAACACAATAATGACTATTATCATTTCTATTCCCATGACAGCTATGTCACCCATAATACCAGCACCACCACCATGTTGTTACCAACACTGCCACCACAATAAGGCTACCACTATCACTATTGCTGCTGTGCCACAACACATTTTTGTCACCATTATTGCCTTCATCACTAATAAGCACCATCAGATAAGCAACTCCATCAATTTTTGTCAGAATAATATTCAATCAAATTACAACTTTGATTTTTTAAAGATATATATGGCTCGAATTGGAAAGTGGAAGAGTATTGAAAAAGATGAAAAGGAAACAAATCCAACGGGGGCTAAATATAAGAGATTTCTTATTTAAACGAATGCATAGAACACAACCTCAAAAATGAACACGGATGTCACATTGGACTCAACCACTGAAAAAAATGGACTAGGGGCCCCCAGGTTATAATCCCTGCATCTACACACAGAATATTACTTGGTAATACTGCCAACATGAATCATAGAGAGAACTCCATCACCACTGCCTTGGGTAACTTCACCAATGCATCATAAATTTTAATACTACCTCATGACCAGCTAAGGTTGCATCCTGATCACCAAAAAAGCAACCTCCAACTTAAAAACACCATACTTTAAGTAATTGACAAAAGAAAACTATTCACAATGGCCTTGTGTTCCACTATAACCACCTCAAAACTATTTACAATGTCCTCGTGTTCCACTGTAACCACCTCACTTAATTTGTTACCTCATATACCTTTTACTGGAGAAAAGCATCACCACTACTACCACTACATAACTTATCACCACCACATACTAGACTATCAATTGATCCACCTTTGACGCTATCATTCCTTGCAGTAATGTATAAAGACTACAACATCACTACCTCCTACCATTCGTGGTAATTTCTATCATTTGCACCATCCTGTCTATAATATCATGGAGATGCATTAATACCACACCATCTCTAGCTCCTCCCATCCATGTTACGTGTCATAAACATCACCTACAGAAACTGGCGACGACTACCTACTCCAACTTGTCCCAAGCACGCAGATACCACCATTACATATCTACTGACACCACTTCACATCCACTTATGCCTCCAAAATCTCAAAAACTTGATCAGTGGGTCAGCTTTTGGCCATCTACATCACCTCTATAAACGAATCAATCACTTGCAACCTACCCCCCCCCTTTTTTTCTTACTTCCTCTTTACATGGTGCGTGTATTACAAGAAATTCTTTTCAGAAGAGACAAGAAAGGGCCAATTGCTAAAGCTTAAATGGAAGAGAAAATCTAGAGACCCCAACAAACAATAAAAGCAGACTAAAGAATGCAGTGAACACATAAAAACTAAATTTGGTTACTTGCCTCTTTTCTTTAGAAGGGCCCTTGCTTGCAAGTCTAGCTGTTTGTACTGCAGCATCGGCAGATGCAGCTTCGGGAGTTGCTCGTAGAACCTCACATATGACTTGTTGGCATTCACTCTGTCACAAAATTAGAGTACAAATTACAAGTTGAATAAATTTCGTAAGCAATACTTATATTTAAGTACCCTACAGTATTCCAAGTAATAAAACATTCACCAATTGGTCATTAATGAGTATAAAAAACTCAAATGAAAGAGGTTCTGGTATTGGTACTTTATATTCAGAGTCAACTGATCCCTCGATCAAGTCCTAACTACACATTTCTTGAGAGAAGACAAGAAATGCAATAGAAAAAGACTACCTGCAAAACTGTCAAGGAAAAACTAATGCTGTAACCTCCAGTATCATGAGATGCCTCCGAATCAGGGTTCCAGTTTATATCTGCTGCCACTGACTTTGGTGTATTCAAGTCAATTTGTTGTGAAGATTTTGATTCGAGAAGCTCCCCGACAATAACATGGTTCTCTAAAACAGTTATGGTGGTTAAATGTTGAGTTTGACATTTTTTGGAACAAAACAAGTTGAACTCAACAAAACATTGACAAAAGGAACTAAACTCAGTATCATATCTGACCAAATATTCGAACAATAGTGTCCAAAATTGAATCAAGCAGTTCCTTTGCTGCAGCCTGCGCCTTTCCCGTGGGAGCCATCACAGGTGAGACAGGACTCACTGCCAGAACCGTTCCAGCCAGAGATATCCCATTCTGATGTTTCTGTTTCGGAAATTGGTACCTCTCCAATTGTCCTTTTAAATAGTGTAGACCAGTGGTCACTGTTCGAGCACCATGGTCAATGCCAGGCATTGAACTATTAAAATGTTCCGCATGAGCTTTAATCTTGGTAGTGATTATCTCATGAATTGTAGGTCGCAATCTTTGGCTGGTAAAGACAGAAACCAAAGAAGTTAAAAATACCATCTCGAGATACAGTAGGATATAGAAGCATAATCAGGATCAATGCCATCACTTCTCTGTTGAAGTTTCTAATGACAATCAGAAACTGAATCAGTCATGTGTTTAAGAATAAGAGATTCACATTACTGTTGATTCACATCAAGCAAATGAGCATCATTTTTCAATTACTAATATCATTGCTGAGAACTATAAGGACCCAAAAAAATGTCGACCTTCCTAAATCTACTTAACTCAACTCAATAAAACCTTGTCCCAACATTTTTGAGGTCAGCTACATGAATAACTCAACAAAGCCTTGTGCCAACCTTACTAAACAACCCCACATAAATAGCATGTCCTAATGACTNACCCCCCCCCTTTTTTTCTTACTTCCTCTTTACATGGTGCGTGTATTACAAGAAATTCTTTTCAGAAGAGACAAGAAAGGGCCAATTGCTAAAGCTTAAATGGAAGAGAAAATCTAGAGACCCCAACAAACAATAAAAGCAGACTAAAGAATGCAGTGAACACATAAAAACTAAATTTGGTTACTTGCCTCTTTTCTTTAGAAGGGCCCTTGCTTGCAAGTCTAGCTGTTTGTACTGCAGCATCGGCAGATGCAGCTTCGGGAGTTGCTCGTAGAACCTCACATATGACTTGTTGGCATTCACTCTGTCACAAAATTAGAGTACAAATTACAAGTTGAATAAATTTCGTAAGCAATACTTATATTTAAGTACCCTACAGTATTCCAAGTAATAAAACATTCACCAATTGGTCATTAATGAGTATAAAAAACTCAAATGAAAGAGGTTCTGGTATTGGTACTTTATATTCAGAGTCAACTGATCCCTCGATCAAGTCCTAACTACACATTTCTTGAGAGAAGACAAGAAATGCAATAGAAAAAGACTACCTGCAAAACTGTCAAGGAAAAACTAATGCTGTAACCTCCAGTATCATGAGATGCCTCCGAATCAGGGTTCCAGTTTATATCTGCTGCCACTGACTTTGGTGTATTCAAGTCAATTTGTTGTGAAGATTTTGATTCGAGAAGCTCTCCGACAATAACATGGTTCTCTAAAACAGTTATGGTGGTTAAATGTTGAGTTTGACATTTTTTGGAACAAAACATTGACAAAAGGAACTAAACTCAGTATCATATCTGACCAAATATTCGAACAATAGTGTCCAAAATTGAATCAAGCAGTTCCTTTGCTGCAGCCTGCGCCTTTCCCGTGGGAGCCATCACAGGTGAGACAGGACTCACTGCCAGAACCGTTCCAGCCAGAGATATCCCATTCTGATGTTTCTGTTTCGGAAATTGGTACCTCTCCAATTGTCCTTTTAAATAGTGTAGACCAGTGGTCACTGTTCGAGCACCATGGTCAATGCCAGGCATTGAACTATTAAAATGTTCCGCATGAGCTTTAATCTTGGTAGTGATTATCTCATGAATTGTAGGTCGCAATCTTTGGCTGGTAAAGACAGAAACCAAATAAGTTAAAAATACCATCTCGAGATACAGTAGGATATAGAAGCATAATCAGGATCAATGCCATCACTTCTCTGTTGAAGTTTCTAATGACAATCAGAAACTGAATCAGTCATGTGTTTAAGAATAAGAGATCAATGTTTAACAATTTCTATCCAATAAGGAACAGAAAGGGAAAGTGTTAAAAAAAAAAAAAGCAATGCCACATAGCTATTTCCCAAAAGAGATTCACATTACTGTTGATTCACATCAAGCAAATGAGCATCATTTTTCAATTACTAATATCATTGCTGAGAACTATAAGGACCCAAAAAAATGTCGACCTTCCTAAATCTACTTAACTCAACTCAATAAAACCTTGTCCCAACATTTTTGAGGTCAGCTACATGAATAACTCAACAAAGCCTTGTGCCAACCTTACTAAACAACCCCACATAAATAGCATGTCCTAATGACTAAGACACTAAAGCCTTGAAGTGTCAAATATATGCAGCAGTAGTCGCAGTACCATAAATTTGATCTTACACAACATTACTGGTCAAGCATGAAAGCGGAATATATGCACACCAGAAACAGCTTAAATGGATAGTACCTGATGCTGGGATTATTCTCCGACCTTAACGGACAGATATATGTATTAGACTATCATGCCGTTTGGATGGCAGGGGAGGGCATATACACATAAATGTGGGTTGGTTATGTACATAAATCTTGCTCTGTATATATAGAGAGAGAAAGGGTGGAGGAATACAATTGTGGTGGTGGGTTCAAGGCGAGGATGGTGCTCTGGTGAAGTAACAAGGTACGAGGCTTATTCCTATTTATGTGCATAATACATAGTGAAAATCTTACAGTAGGAATTGTTGTCTAAAAGGTCTCTTCAGAGTTTCAAGTAGGAGAATGAAAAAAAAAAAAGGAAAAAGGAGGATATGACAATGGATTTCTGTAGTTGGGGTGTGGGGTTGGGTGACAAATTAGACTCGAGGGAAAAACAGAGAGGTTAAGAGGAGGTAATGATGATGGTACAAGTAAATTGGTGCTTTTGTTGTATATTGATTTTGTAGTATTTAATTTAATCTTGATAATGGTAAAATAATAATTTCAAAGAACTCCTAACCTGATATCAGCAAATACTTTTATGCCTTGACCATTGAAAAATAGAGGAATAACATTCTTTACAATTTTAAGAAGAAAAAAAACTAAAGGGGCGCAACATCATTTCAGAACCAATGAGGATCTCCGCAGCAATTGTCGGAAACTATAAGGGATCTCAAATTATGAGTTTAATTATCTAATTATCCCTACCTTTTATGTCAAAGGCATTTTGGTCATCTTGTCTTGAAGTGTAGTTGTAGCCCACCCTGATAAGTTTTTGTATTGTGGGCTTATATATAAACGACAAGTCTGACTAGTGAGTCTAATGGATCTAAATAATAGCCTAAGTCTTAGTCAAAATTTGGTCTCCAAGAATAATTCAACACCAAATTGGCTTGGCCCTCTTCGTCTCAAACTCATTGTCTTCTAGATATGCGTNCAAAGCCTTGTGCCAACCTTACTAAACAACCCCACATAAATAGCATGTCCTAATGACTAAGACACTAAAGCCTTGAAGTGTCAAATATATGCAGCAGTAGTCGCAGTACCATAAATTTGATCTTACACAACATTACTGGTCAAGCATGAAAGCGGAATATATGCACACCAGAAACAGCTTAAATGGATAGTACCTGATGCTGGGATTATTCTCCGACCTTAACGGACAGATATATGTATTAGACTATCATGCCGTTTGGATGGCAGGGGAGGGCATATACACATAAATGTGGGTTGGTTATGTACATAAATCTTGCTCTGTATATATATAGAGAGAAAGGGTGGAGGAATACAATTGTGGTGGTGGGTTCAAGGCGAGGATGGTGCTCTGGTGAAGTAACAAGGTACGAGGCTTATTCCTATTTATGTGCATAATACATAGTGAAAATCTTACAGTAGGAATTGTTGTCTAAAAGGTCTCTTCAGAGTTTCAAGTAGGAGAATGAAAAAAAAAAAAGGAAAAAGGAGGATATGACAATGGATTTCTGTAGTTGGGGTGTGGGGTTGGGTGACAAATTAGACTCGAGGAAAAAACAGAGAGGTTAAGAGGAGGTAATGATGATGGTACAAGTAAATTGGTGCTTTTGTTGTGTATTGATTTTGTAGTATTTAATTTAATCTTGATAATGGTAAAATAATAATTTCAAAGAACTCCTAACCTGATATCAGCAAATACTTTTATGCCTTGACCATTGAAAAATAGAGGAATAACATTCTTTACAATTTTAAGAAGAAAAAAAACTAAAGGGGCGCAACATCATTTCAGAACCAATGAGGATCTCCGCAGCAATTGTCGGAAACTATAAGTGATCTCAAATTATGAGTTTAATTATCTAATTATCCCTACCTTTTATGTCAAAGGCATTTTGGTCATCTTGTCTTGAAGTGTAGTTGTAGCCCACCCTGATAAGTTTTTGTATTGTGGGCTTATATATAAACGACAAGTCTGACTAGTGAGTCTAATGGATCTAAATAATAGCCTAAGTCTTAGTCAAAATTTGGTCTCCAAGAATAATTCAACACCAAATTGGCTTGGCCCTCTTCGTCTCAAACTCATTGTCTTCTAGATATGCGTAAGTGTTGGATTTTGTCCAAGTATATTGGAATAAGGAACTTCTTTAAGTTTTGATAGGAAAAAAATAGTAACTCCTTTAAGCATATTTTGATGTGAGGCATCATCTACTTCTCCTTTACTTGTCCATTATTTCATTCTTATTTTCAAAACTTCTACACAATAACCAGATATGTGCCTCATTGCTCCAAGCCCCAAAATCCTATTTACTATCCCAAACATTTCACAGAACAATAGCCCAACTATGCAGGAACAGCAATCTTGCGGCCCCTAAAACCTCCTTCCCCTCTTACGTCTTAGCTCTGTTCCAGCATAATATTTCCTCATAATCCTAAGCCCTTAATTCTCCAAATCCATTAAAATCTTTTTGTTTGGTTCTGAAAGAAAAAAATCCTCCTTTCTTTCTATTAAAGAGAACACAAAACCCCTATCTTGGGCAGGAGGCATACTCAATGAACCCCAGACCAAATATAAAATTAGATAATTATAGAACAGGTCTAAAAAGTGCCTAAATGTTTTAAACGACATGAACATTGAAGTGAATTATCATTGGCAATCTGTAAAAGCTGCCTCAAAATGCAAACCATAACATCTCTATTCCGGCTTATACACAGAAATGACATCCTTTTGATCAGTTCACCCCCAGGATATATATATCCTTCTTCCAAAAAAGAGCTATCGACCTGAGAAGCCATAGTATAGAAAACATAGCCAGCATTATACCCCTTCCCTAGAGATAGAACACCTCTATAAGATTAAGCAACCCCTTTTCCTTCTAGGGCAATTATTAGCTTGTTGGAAACATCTTTTGCCTTTTAATTGCAAATTTGCCATACCCTCAAGAAGCTATCATTTTCTCCATGGGTTCGAAAGGGGAAAGACCTTTTCGTTTGGCAATCAATAAACAATCCAAGGGGACATAGATAGTGATTTGGAGTTGGAGCCAAATTAGTTACAGTATAAATATCATATACATTCTACACTATGCTGTCTAAAACTGCAAGTTCAACAATGATAAACAAAAATCAGTAACTACTGCTAGAGAAAGCTCAATGGGACCCCAAGCTGAAAAGCGTGGCAACACAGGGTCAAGCTCAACCACCTGACACAAATCATACCAGAAATTGGGTCCCCAGTTTTTGGCTCACAACGCCTCACAAGGCCACTTCACAAAATGCCACATTGGAGGGACACGATAGGTAAGCCTTTTCTTTAATTTTTTTTTATTGTTCAAGTATATCAATAAAGAATACCAAGACAAAAAATAAGTGTTATACCACACACAGCACACGCAAAGATGGGAAAATAACCAATAGGTGTCAATAATCTGTCTCAAAAAAATCAACTCNCGATAGGTAAGCCTTTTCTTTAATTTTTTTTTATTGTTCAAGTATATCAATAAAGAATACCAAGCCAAAAAATAAGTGTTATACCACACACAGCACAAGCAAAGATGGGAAAATAACCAATAGGTGTCAATAATCTGTCTCAAAAAAATCAACTCTATGGACACTTCCAAAAACATGCTTCCAATAAATCAAAGAGGAATGAACTTGACAACATACCATATTATAGCACCAGCAGCTGCAACTTTGCCAAGCATGCAGAGGCACTCAACCATGGTCTGCAAATACTTCACATGTAGGGGAGCATCACTCTTTCTCATTGCTTCCTACATCCAAATACAAATTAAAAAATTAAGCCCATCAGACAAGATAAATTCATTACTAGGTTAATAGATGTAACAGTTTAGTATGTACAGTTATCATACAACAAATTCATCAGGGGTGGAATATGAAAGCCATATGGGAATTTGACGAGAGACACCACCATTGACCCTTATTGGGGCAGTATACCCATCTGATGTAGCATCTTCATATAAATCCAAGGCACTGTCCTCATCATGGCCATCGAACGAGGAACTGAAAAACATGTTCAGGAAACAGAAAAAAAGATGGCTCATTACGCATGTAAAATTCATTCCAGGAAATTGGGGGGGTAAGAAATATAGAGTACAAAGTAGAAAGAATAACCAAATAAGCAACCTAAGAATTGGCTTACTTATACATGATGGCATACTAAACTATGACCCAAAGTCTTTCCCTAGGAAATCCATTTATAAGAACTGCAGTTCAGGATTCATTTATCCGTACAAATAGGAGAGAACATTCAAAAAGATTATTTTAGTTTGTAAGTGATATCAAATTTGCATAGAAACGAGCTGCTTAGTCTTATTCAATTTTTTGCAGTAACAGTAGTTTGAAAACTCAAGTAGACACATTCCTAAAGAATTTTTAACAAGGGAAAATTTGTAAAAAGTCTCAGACTAGAGGGAGGATGGTATTCCTAACTCTAATTAAGACAATCACACTCCAATGGAGCTTTAGAGTTTTAAGGCAGGGAGAAGATGCAAACCAGCCAATTTACACAGCGCCCAGGGGGAAGGGGGGGGGGATATGCAGACCAACCTTGTAAGAATAAGTGCCAAAATAAGTCTATTAAATGTCGGACAAAAGAAAGTAGAAATCAACAATTGAACCCATATCCGCTATTTTTACTAGTGAATAACAAAGTGGAGAATGGTTCAAAATGACAGACATAAATATAAGTTGCAGAATCACATTTAAGCAACATGGTCTTGTCCTACCCTCCATCCACAGAACTAGGCCTGTAAGATCCATCTCCAAGTCCATATGCACCAGACTGACTGTCACCTTTCAGTAGCCTGGTTCTGCGAGAGAGGGGTTGTGAATTACTCATTGAAAATGAAACAGCAGTGGTAGTCGGCACTTCATCATCCCGTTCATTAATACCTGAGGTGGCTGGGCTGTAGAAAATAAACAGTGTAGCAAAATAAACTTCACTGAAAGAAAAGGATTTAAAGAAAGAAGCTTGTGCTTGACCAAAAAAAGAAAGAAGCTTGTGTTGATGTCAATGAAACTTAACAGCACTGTTTAAGTGAGCAATAACAGTACAAGGAATTCAAAAAGGAAACCAAAAACTACCCAAAGTTTTCTTCATAAATCATGGAACTAATGAAGAAAATAATAGGATAGTATAATTCAAAAAATAAATGTCAAGACAGATGACAAGTTATTTTGGCCAGAGTGAGCCTGATTGAAAAGGCTTTAAGCATATTCAATCACCACACTCCCTCCCCCACTCGTAAAGGGAAAAAGAGATATAAATAAAAAAAACCTAAATAGAAAANGAAAAATAAATGTCAAGACAGATGACAAGTTATTTTGGCCAGAGTGAGCCTGATTGAAAAGGCTTTAAGCATATTCAATCACCTCCCCCACTCGTAAAGGGAAAAAGAGATATAAATAAAAAAAACCTAAATAGAAAAAGAAATAAGGAAAAGAAAAGACCTACATGTATTCACCCTTGTTGTAAAGATGGGCATGCAAATCCTCCAAGACTTTATAAAAGAGAACTCCACGCAACTTTGTCAACTCAGATCGGACATCTTGAAGAGCACCAACCTGTGCTATACCAAAAAGGATGAGATTATGCATAAGTAACACATCCAACTCCCTTAACAGCTTGAGATCAGGTAAATTCAGAGGCTAACAACCCCAAGTTTGTGGGTTTAAATCAGAGAACAGCAGTTCTGCACAAATAGTGTGCAAAGATTAGATATGTATCAAATCTACTCCTCCTAACACCCTCGCTTAATGGGATCCAAACTAGGTGATGAACTTTTCTCAACGCAGCAGCACTCCTTTAGACTAGAAGCAACACAATCAAAATTGGGGTAAAATAATTGGCAACAAGGAAATTAATAANGAACTTTTCTCAATGCAGCAGCACTCCTTTAGACTAGAAGCATCACAATCAAAATTGGGGTAAAATAATTGGCAACAAGGAAATTAATAAGCATTTGGATNCCAAACTAGGTGATGAACTTTTCTCAACGCAGCAGCACTCCTTTAGACTAGAAGCAACACAATCAAAATTGGGGTAAAATAATTGGCAACAAGGAAATTAATAAGCATTTGGATAGCCCATAAAAAACTTCCAAATTTGAAGGTTTCACATTCATCAATAGCCAAGTGTAGCAAGGTGAAGCCATCATATAAATCAGGTGAAACTAAAATCTATATAATTTAGGTGATGTCAGCAGATCTCCAAAAGATGTAAAAGGTATACAACCAACATGTATATTATGAACTAATCCTCACTCACAAGATGAGATTGAGCATCAATTTCAAAAAGCGCTCAACTGATGTGTTAAGGCTTTAAATGAACTATAAACTGCAAAACCATTTTTCATTGTGCAATTATATGAAACAGAATGATTAAGAAACAATAACTGAATAACAAATAAACCAACCGTTTGAAGGCCCTCTCTCTCAAGCATGAGTGTCGATTGAACATGTAATTGCACCGCAGCATAAAACTGCTTTTCAGTAACAAACTTCTCAATCCGAGCTGGAACCTGAGCCACATTTGAAACAGAGGTGATAGTAAATCGCCATCTATTGAAAAGTAAATGTCTGGCAACACTGCCACCTTTTCTTGAGCCAAGTGTTTCTGTTAGTACACCTTTTGGACAATAGTGATAATAAATTTAGTGTTATATTTTGCTTCAGTAACAGTTATGGGGAATTTAGTACTTTCCATAATTGTGTGTGTTCATATGTATTCTAGTGCATAGTTGTGCGACCTAACACCCTACCCTTCTTATAATATCTTTCTCTCCTCTCTTATTCTTCTTCAAATCTTTCTCTACTCCTTCAAACTCGAGGACCTTACAATCAAACTTGGTACGAGAGCTTGGTTGTTTCGGTTTGAATCTCCTCCAGGTGGTGCATCTAGGGATAAGAAGCAACGCCCGTTAAGTTTGGTTGAAGATTTGAGTGAATTTAGCATGGTTTCCTGTCCGATTTGCCATTTGGAAGTATGATTCTTCCTGGTTTGCTACTGTTTTGGGCAAGCAGGATCCATATTTTGATCTGGGCAAGCACTTCCATTAACAAGCTGGTTTGATAATGTTCTGGACAATATAAATAGGTATCAGAAATTGTATTGTTTAGCCAGACAACTACTTTTTAATGTCCAAAGTTTGTATTGCTTTTCATTTTTCTTTGGGTGGAATTCTTGTCCGCTACATTGCAATCTTTTCTTTATTTAATGAAAGTTATGTTTCTTGTCATGGAACTGCAATCAAGTTTACAATCATGGTCTAGCTGTCTAGGTAGTGGGATACAAGCTTTTAACTTTAACTAAGTTAAATTTGTGAGGACAAAATGCAACTAACCTTTATGCTTCCAGCCTTGCACTAGCCTACATATAAAAATCTAGTGCAATCACCACCTAGTTTCGTAGAAGTCTTACGGGAATGTTTAGAGGTGGTTGAAATCCTTTCTTTGATTAATGGTGTCTCTTTCACTCAAGGCTCTTTGGGTCAAAGAGTATGGACTATTGAGTTTTATGGTATTTTATCTTGTAAAACATTTTTGGAGTTTATAATTGATAATTCATCTCCTTCAGTGTTTCCCCATTCGAGAGAGATTTGGGAATCGAAAGTGCCTCTCAAGGTGCAAAGTTGCGTATGGATAATTACTCATGGTAAGCTTAATACTTGTGATGTGCTTCAAAAAAGAAGACCTATGATTTGTCTCTCACCGCAGTGATGTGTTATGTGGAAAGGTGATGGGGAGAGTATTGAATCATCTCTTTCTTCATTGCACTATTGTTTTGTCTCTCTGTAACAAGTTGTTTAGACATGTTGATCATTGTTGGGTGGCATCGAGAAGTATACTTTCGATGATATGATGGGATGTTTTGAGTGGGGGTGAGAATAGGAAATGAAAAACCCTTTGGCATTGCACATGTAATGCCATTGTGTGGGTGATTTGGTTAGAAAAAAATGCAAAGATTTTCGATGATAAGAGTGGGGGAGGGTGAAGACCTTTGGGAACGACTTTACTTTCTGACTTCCTTTTAGGCTTCCATGTGTAAAGAATTTGAAGATATCACTTTTTCTTTCATTATTTTTGTGTTGGACTGCATCATGCGGAAGATTGTATTTGTCTTTATTTTTATTTTTATTTTTTGTTTCCGTTTGCATATTTTAGGTTGGATGTCTTATCAAACTTTGATATGCCATTTGTAATTTTGATTTTTTTTAATGATATCAATGTTTCTTATCAAGAAAAAAAAAATACCACCCAATTAAAGCAGTTTGAGCCTTTTTGCTTGCAATACAAGCAATAACATACACCTTCCATTCATAACTTCCCATTCTTAACGTATCCACCAGTGAATCAGGACACACTTGCTCATCTATTGCTAATTAAAGCACTTGCAGTAGTAATCTCAAAAAATATTCATTCTTCTTCCCAGCACTATTTACCATCTCCTTAGTAACTACCAGATAACTTTTGAGCTTCATTAGAGTAAACCAAAATATGAACAAAACTCATTTCAGATAGCAGCAACATCAAATTTCCACAGGTGAATCCCCATAGGTTGAAGAGAAACCAATTTAAGGATATGTTGAGTTGAAGAATCCTTTTTTTTCTTGCTTTAATCAAGTGGCAGTGACTGGTAGGTGCAGACAGAATGGTTATCAGGAGCAAAATCGGATTACCTCCTTTAAATATTGCACAAGTAAGTTTGCAATTGTTGACGTTTATTATGATGGGGGAAGTCTTAGAAGGGAGGGGGGAGTATTAGTTTGTTATGAAGATTGTTAGTTGGAATGTTAGAGGGTTAGGGTCATGGAGGTAGAGAGTTGTTATTAAGGATTTTCTGAAGAAAGTGTGACCTGATATTGTTATTTTGCGGGAGTCTAAGTTGGAAGTTATTGATAGAATAATAGTCAAAAGTGTGTGGATGCCTAGGTTTAGAAAATGAGTTTTCCTTCCTGCTGTGGGAGGTCGGGTGGCATAGTCATTATAATGGGACGAACGAGCTGTCGCAGTGGAGGATTCAATTGAAGGTGAATTTACAATTTCTGTGAAAATTAGACATAAGAATGGGAATGAGTGATGGTTGACTGGGGTGTATGGTCCTAATAAACCTAGATTTAGAATGAGATTATGGGACAAATTAGTAGGCATGTTTGGGGTGTGTAGCCCAAGGTGGTCCATTGGGGGATTTCAATGTCATTTGGTATCCCGGGGAGAATAACAAAAAATAAGAGGGATTTTGACATGTTTATTTGAGAGTCAGAACTTAGAGACCCAACTATAGCTAATGGTATGTTCACATGGTCCAATTTTAGAAGTGGGTTGGTTTGTATGAGGCTTGATAGGTATGAGGGATTTTGACATGTTTATTAGTGAGTCATAACTTAGAGACNTCCTGTAGCTAATGGTATGTTCACATGGTCCAATTTTAGAAGTGGGTTGGTTTGTATGGGGCTTGATAGGTATGAGGGATTTTGACATGTTTATTAGTGAGTCATAACTTAGAGACCTTCCTATAGAAAATGGTACGTTCACATGGTCCAATTTTAGAACTAGGTTGGTTTGTATAATGCAGGATAAGTTTTGTTTTCTATTGGTGGGAAGATTGTTTTATAGGGATTAGACAACAAGCTTTGACTAGAGTCATTTCTGATCATTGTGACCATTTCCTATGGCAAATGGTACGTTCACATGGTCCAATTTTAGAACTGGGTTGGTTTGTATAATGCTGAATAAGTTTTGTTTTCTGTTGGTGCGAAGATTGTTTTATAGGGATTAGACAACAAGCTTTGACTAGAGTCATTTCTGATCATTGTCCCATTATCCTTGATGACTCTTAGATGAGATGGGGTCCTTGTCCATTTAAATTTGAAAATGTGTGGGTGGAGCATAGAGGTTTTAGGGGAAAGGTTAGAGAGTGGTGGTTGGAAAGTGAGGTTTAAGATGGCAAGGGTATAGGTCAATGAAAAAATTAGAATGTATTAAACAAAAGTTAAAAGTATGGAACAAGGAAGAGTTTGGGGATATTATGGAGGCAAAAAGGATTATACTGAAAAGGATTGATGATACTGATGAGGGAGAAGAATGAGGGCATGTGAATGATGAGTTGAGGAAGGACATGAGGGATCTTAAGAATAAACTTGAGAAGGTAATTTTTAAGAAAGAAATAAGTAGGAGACGAAAGTCTGAGTCAAGTGGGTTAAGGAAGGTGAGAACAATTTCAAATTTTTTCATAGAGTGGCTAATGGCAATAGGTTAAGGAAAATCATAGAGAAACTTGAAAAGGATGATGGCATGATTATTGAGGATGAGGATTTAATTGAGGAGATGATTGATTTATTTGCTAATTTATCAGATGTGTTAGAATGAAATGAAGGATGATTTAATGAAGTTTTTGAGGATTTTTAAATAATGGAGTGATTAATATATTTACTAATGCTACATTTGTTTGATTCTAGAGAAAGATAATTCATTGAAGGTTCGTATAAGATTATAGCTAAGGTTCTTTCGATCAGGCTTAGGGAGTGTTTGGGTGAAACTATTTCAAGGGCTCAAGGGACTTTTGTTATAGGGAGATAAATTTTGGATGTGACTCTTGTAGCTAATGAGGTGGTTGAAGATTATAGAGTAAGAGGGGAGGAAAGAATTGCGTTAAAAATTGATTTTTTATAAAGCATATAACCATGTGCACAGGAGTTTTTTGGATTTTGTTTTGGTGGCTAAAGATTTTGGAAATAAATAGAGGAAATGGATTAAGGGGAGTTTGGAGTCAATGAAATTTTCTGTTATGTTAAATAGAAGACCCAGGGGAGGTTTAGAGCATATAGAAGGCTTAGGCAAGGTGATCATCCATTATCTCCTTCCTTGTTCACTTTGGTGGTTGATGGGTTAAGTAGGTTAATAGAGAGAATGAAGATGTGTAATTTGGTGGAAGGTTTTGTAATTAGAAGGGAGATAATTTTTGTGTCTCGCTTGCAATTTGTTGATAGCATGATTTTCTTTCTTTAGGGGATGAAGAGAAATTTAGAAAAGATTATTGATATATTTAGGTTAATTTGTGGTCTTAAAATCAACAAGGAAAAAAGTCAGAAAAATTGAGAGATTAGCTCATGAGGTAGGATGTGTTGTAATTGGGTGTCCGTTGACATATTTAGGAAATCTGATGTCTTAAAACTTTTTGGGACCCAGTACTTGAGAAAGTAAGGAAGCGATTAGATGGGTGGAAAAGAGATTTTATCTCTAGGAGGTAGGTTAATGTTAGTACAGTCTATATTGGTTAGTATTGAATGGATGATGATAGATTTTCTATAAGAGGAATGTGGAGAAAGAAAAATAATCATTTGATTAGATAAGAGATTATGTCTAGGCCTAAGGTCAAGGGTGGTTTATCGGTAGTAAACTTGTTGAAGAGGAATATGGCTTATTAGAAAAATGGCTTTGGAGGTTCCCTTTGGAGCAAGATCCAATGTGGCATGCGGTTATTAGAAACCAATATAGGTTACAAGCTAATAGGGGGATGCCAATGAAGTTGAAAAAGGTATCTTCCAAAGTACATGGAAATTCATTTCGCAGGGGTTACCTAACTTTTCTGAGGGGGTCAAGTTCATGGTGGGAAATACGTTGAAAATAAGATTTTGGAAAGAGGATGTTTGGAGGGGAGAGTCTTATGTTTCTCGTTTATTCCCTCGTCTTTATCATCTTTCTTGATATCCACGGTAGATCCATTGATTCTTTAGTTTCTTCATCTTCTATTCCGATAACTTGAGATATTGAATTTCGTAGCAACCTCAATGATAGAGAGTATTCAGAATTTTTAGGACTTCTTTCAATGTTAAAAGATGTCTGATTGTCTCCAAATTCTCCAAATTCTTTAGTGATTCTTCAGATATTTTCCCTTGTAAATCTTATTTTAAGTCTTTAATTAATGATTTTTCACTTCCATTTTTTTCCCGTCTTGGAAGATTTGGAGGGCCAAAAGTGTCTTTAAAGGTGCGTGTGCATGGATAATTGCACCTGATAAGATTAATACCAATGATGTACTTAAAAAAAAAAGACTTTTGCATTGTCTTTCACCGTAGTGGTACGCTTTGTGTAGAGGTGATGGAGAGACTGTGGATCATTTATTTGCACATTGTCCCTTGACATTTTCATTATGGAATAAATTGTGTGAGATTGTTGGCACTTCTTGGGTGGCTCCATGATCAATGACATCTATGCTTATTGTGGATTTTAGGAATTTGGGAGGAAGTTCAAGAGGAAAGACCCTTTGGCGGTGTGCTTTTTTTTTGCTCTCATTTGGGTGATATGGTTGGAGAGGAATGCAAGAATTTTTGAAGATAAGAAGGAAAAAGTTGAATGTTTATGGGACAAGTTACACTTTTTGGCTTCATTATGAGCATCTGCGACTAAAGAGTATGAGAATTTTTCTTTTTTTAGCATTCATGCAAGCCTAATAGCTTCTTGAGGATTGTATTTTTGACTTTGATGACTTTGTCATCGAATTTTGGGTTAGATAACTTGTCCACAGATATGTTTGTTTAGGGCCTAGGGCGGGTATATGTCAATGCAGCCATCCTAGGCTCAAGAGTTAAGACAATTTGGCTCGATATAATTTCCTCATCCTATTTGGGACACAAATAGATATTTTTTGTTTTGTATGTAGCAACTGCATCACGGAAACAACCTCTCCGCATTCGAGACATCTAACCCTCTACAAACCTCACAGTGGTGAGAGCTTCGTACACTAGGTTACCCTTTATGTTGCAACTGCATACTCTACTAATGGTCGTTGGTGATTTAAATCGTGTAACTACTATAAGTCTTGCAAATATTGCCAACAGTGAACTGCATAGAGTTTAAAGGTAAAACAACAGATAACATGCAAACCTTAGCTATGCCTTCAATTTGATCTAACAAGGCGATTATGTGACGCAATGTAACCGACCGATACCATAATTGATGCAACTGCTTGTTATGGGCGCCAAGAAGTTTCTTTGCCTCATCCAAATCAGACTTTAATGCACCAATGCTTTGAGCAGATTCACTAAATAACCGCAAAATCTGGAGCAAAAGAATGTGTCAGTAATAAATCAAATTGTAAGAGCCAACCTTCCTACCAAATCCCAAACGAGATTAAGTATCGCATGTCAAGAATTCTAGCTGGATATGCAAAACTGACAATAGGTAGGATTGACTAAGATAGTTGCACGATATATGCTGTTTTCCAACAGTACCTAAAAAGTTGAATCATCATGAGGAGATATATAAACAAGTAAATTCTCCATATTCAGTTAAGGATAGTAAACAACAAACAAAATCAATGACCAGAAGTGTGAGCCTCTTTGATGACTTCTACTGCATTCATATAGATTATCTGTCTATTTGTACAGCAGTTAATTTTCAGCAAGAATGGATGCAATAATGATTAGCAATTCGAGAGGGCAGTGAAAGCCAAAATCACATTCCCTAAGAGCCGGTTGGTATCGTTTTTGTTTCTGATTAAAAGAACAGAAGACCGTAAACAATATTTAAAAATGACATTTGGTAATATTTTTATTTTTAATAATTATGTTTTTAAAAAATTCAAAAACAAATTTTTGTTTTTTAATTCAGAAAACACAGAACAATAAAAAATGTCTCATGATTGTCGCTCTCAATTGCCTCTCCCCTCACCAATCTCTCTGCTCTGTTCCGTCACCCCGTTGACTCTCTACCTCCAGCTGTTCAACCTCTCTATTTCTCAACTAGCCACTCTTTGTCTCTCAACCTCTAGCATCTATTACCCTCTCAATTCTGAAAATTTCTTACAAAGTCACACCAACTTCATTCTTCTCCTCTGTTTTTGGAAGCTCCCCCCATTCCTTAACCTCCAAAGACGGCGAATCCAACTCCGGGTTTTTGTTGTAATTGTCCAAGTTAAAACCATTGTTAGTCGGTGATAAGCTAGGCAGCAAACATGATTGACTTTGGGGGTTTTGGAATGGGCCATCATGAGAGAGATGAGAAGGTGAAAGTGGTAGATAGGAGGATGGGTTTGCAAATGCACTCGGAGCAATCTGTTTGTATTTTGAAAATCATGGGGATACGTGGGGTATTACTTGAATTTTTTAAAAAGAATACGCTCACTGGAGCAAATATGTTTGGGCCCTTATTTGCAAAAAAAAAAAAGCCTAACTTATATCCTTATTCGACAGACCCCCCCCCCCAACTCAATTGAATACGATCGATGCTATACTCTCTCTCTCTCTCTCTCTCCCCGACGGCCTTTCTTTGACGTCGACGACGTCTCTCTTGATACTGTTGAAGTACAGATTTGATGATCGACAATGTATTCTCTCTCTGCCCTGATATCATCAGGTAAGCTCTCTTGGTCTCTCTCTCCTCTCTTTTGTTTTTAGCCTGTGATTAGCACTCTTTTTTTGCAATTAGGGTTTGGAAAACAAACTTTGGGGTCTTGAATTAAGGTTTGCAACTAGGGGGGTTTTTTTGAGCAATCTGGAGAACAAATTACACATATAGCTGATGTGCACAGGCAGTTGGAAACATTTGAACTGCTGCATTCGAACTGCTGCATTTGAACTGTGATTGAAGTACTGCATTTGAATTGCTGTATTTGAGGTGTATTACTGCAGCTACTGCCTGCTGTATATGAGGTGCATTTGAACTGCTTTGGGGCCTTGAATTAGGGTTTGCAATTTTGTTGCTTGATTTGTAATCGGATGGTTTCTTTTGTTTAAGCATGGCCATGATTTATGTATAATACTATGATTTATGAATGATAGAATGGTTAGTTATTATTATATATCTTTGCCAGATGAATGATATACTCTATAAAAGTACGGCATTGGCATGGCCTAGGCCTAGATAAATTGTTATGTTTTATCAATATATATAGATTATGATATAATATGAGGAAATGATTACTTGATAATAAGTAAATCTTNTCTAGGCCTAGATGAATTGTTATGTTTTATCAATATATATAGATTATGATATAATATGAGGAAATGATTACTTGATAATAAGTAAAGCTTACTTTTAGTACTCTTAACATAAATTTTTGAACTAATGAATGATATTAGTCACCCNCCTAGGCCTAGATAAATTGTTATGTTTTATCAATATATATAGATTATGATATAATATGAGGAAATGATTACTTGATAATAAGTAAATCTTACTTTTAGTACTCTTAACATAAATTTTTGAACTAATGAATGATATTAGTCACCCCATTTCTTAGAGCTAGTGCAGCATATATAATTATGACAACTTCTCTCATCTTCCCTACCTTTCTTTGTCAAAAAAAAAATTATAAGTCTTTGGCTTTCTTATTAAATATTAAGTGAATTTCAATATAATTATTCTTAACAACTACAAGTTTTTTAGCGATACAAACAGGATAATCATATGTCAAAATTTTTAACTTTGTTGATCAAATAATAGCAAGTGTCCAAGAAGTGTTGACCACATGCTTTTTTTTTAATCTACACATTTTCTAAGAAGTGTCGAATACAACTTTTATTTTGTCATTGGAAACGTGAAAAAAAGTATCGGCCATGGATCTGACAGTGTCCAAGAAATTTTGGTATCCAACCCGGACACGTCACCTTCTTAAAAGCTTCAATGCTTTCTAGGTTCTAATACAAATCTCCTTAAAGGCACCAATTAGTGTTTTGCAGGAAACTTGCACTTGGCTCGAGAGAACATCCATGAAGAAAATAAAACCCGTATATTTTGGGTTAGCTACATCGACACCCCTCAGATTTGAAAATGTAATCACACAATCCCATCCATGTAAAAAAGCATTTCTAAGAAGTTAGTAGTTGGCAAAGCCTTTATCTGGCCACAACAACTTGACAGTGGTTTGCTTCTTCAAGGAGTTTGACCGAGGCAAGTGGTAAAACAAGGTCTCACAAAGATGAATATTGAGTTTGAAAAAACATGTGCACCATTTAAGAACAAAGAAACATAAATATTTAATAGCACTAGAACTTGGCGGCCAAATAGAACTGATGCTCACTTAAAAAGAAAAAATGGAATCCTAAGTCCAGCAATCCTACAATCGTAATCAAAGAAAGACAAAATGCATATGTTTGATTAACAATGGTAAGATTCTACAGTTGTTTTTTCCAATTGGCATAAAACTGCATCAACATCTCAAGTCTCTCTTCATCAATACATCCATGAATTCATTCTCAACAAGTGATAAAAGCAAAAAGGATAGATATATAAACAATAATAAAAAAAATTTTGTCAACTACCATTGTATAAGTTAATTGAAAGAATTCAGAAACTTATCTTTATCAGACNTTTTTTTTGTCAACTACCATTGTATAAGTTAATTGAAAGAATTCAGAAACTTATCTTTATCAGNAAAATTTTGTCAACTACCATTGTATAAGTTAATTGAAAGAATTCAGAAACTTATCTTTATCAGACAAAACAGGAGAATGCAAAAAATCAGATAATTGTATCTAGAAGACGTGCTATTTCAAGAAAAGGAGACACGAAGGCAAAGAACTATGAACAAACCTGAGAATAATTTTGAATTGCTTTGTTGAAGCCACCATGGTAAGCATGCACCACTTCATCCACAACTTCCTCAATGATATCACTCTGCTCTTTCAAAAATTGGGCTTCACCATCACGATCTTTTGATGTCAAAATATGGACGACATGAGGTAATGAATCAAAGCGTGCAGCAGCCCAGCTCTCATCTATTTTTGAAAGTTCTTCTCTTAAGTACTGCTTCGGCCATTAAAACACCACAGAAAGTTTAAAATAACATTAAGCCTGCAAAATGGCTTATCAGCTTACAAAGGACAACAAATTATTAGTAAGTTTAAAATGAACAAAACAAATATTGCAATCGCATCAAAGAGACATATGAAAGAAAAGTAGGCCCATTAATTGCTACCATCTCTCTCCCAATCTCTCTCTCTCTCTCTCTCGTGACTTTACCTTCTTGGGTCTAGACCATGAACTGGGATAAAGTCCAACGCTGGACTTCACGAGTATTTTAAGATAGTTTTTAGTTGAACAATCTACTCTGATTCTTTTCCCCATGGAATGGTCCAAAAAATTTGATGCCAACCATAATTTCCAATTAATCGAGCTTAACCAAAAGAATATAAATCCCACTGTGTACAGAAATTTTATGTCAACACCCACTCGTAGAATCATCATTTTAGTAGTCCAATTCCAACAATCACCAATGGTTCATTTAAAAAGAAAATCGCCACTTCTAGAGTTGATACCGAAGTTTTTAGGTCGAAAGAATCTAAAAAAGCTACAGGCAAAGTCGAAGAACTAAGAATTAAAGAAAAGATTGTCAACAGAAATCAAGAATTCCATTCGAACTGAAATGTACTCACCGCTTTATCCCGGGAAACTGGTAATCCATCGAAAATTCCCATCCTCGAGCCAGTCAGCTCCCCTCAAATCGCAGAACTGAACAACAACAAAAATCAATCCATTTCGATTCAAAATTACTCCAATTAGACATATCATAGTTACCTATACTTACAAAGATAGTGGACTGCTAACAGCAGATAGATAGGGACAAATGAGTGATTCGGATCTGTGACAATTGAATTCAGATTCCTTCCCACAACAAGCAAAAAAAAAAATTCTCAAAAATATCGTGATGATAAAGAAAGTGGATCGGATGATGAAGATACGTATATCTATCTGAGAGAGAGGAGATCCGAATAGGAAATCAATTTAGGTAAGGAACCAGAAATCAGAGACTTCCCTGCCAAAAGCTTTCAGTTTAGACCGACCTGAGACTTGGTCCCACGTAAAGAACCGTGTTGAATAGTGTGACCCGTAACAGTAATGCGGGTTGGGTTNATTCCCTGCCAAAAGCATGTTTTCAGTTTAGACCGACCTGAGACTTGGTCCCACGTAAAGAACCGTGTTGAATAGTGNTCCCTGCCAAAAGCTTTCAGTTTAGACCGACCTGAGACTTGGTCCCACGTAAAGAACCGTGTTGAATAGTGTGACCCGTAACAGTAATGCGGGTTGGGTTCGGTTCGTAATTGGATTCGGGGTTCAAGTAAGGGTGCACGTTCTCTAGATGTTCTAATGAATCTAACCGTATTGATTACACGTATGCACGAAATTTAAAAAAAAATAAATCATATTTATTTTGTAGGACCAAAATCATAATTATCATAACATCAATGTTATAGAGGCCGAATTAGAAATTTAATTTATGGCAATTGTTTAATTGTGAGTTCTAAAATTTGTGTTTTTTTTTAATTTTTTTATACCTAATGTATCTCATTTGCAATGATTTTATCTTTATACAGAATAAGTAACATGATTTTGATACAGATCATTGGCTTTTTTATGTTAAGACAAAGTTCAACTATTTTTTATTATTTTTTATGTGACTCAAATGAATTTTTTTTTTTTTGCTTACATCCAATTTTTTGCAATCTTTGTTAACCCACCAGCACGATTGCTTAGCANGAAATGAATTTTTTTTTTTTGCTTACATCCAATTTTTTGCAATCTTTGTTAACCCACCAGCATGANCAAATGAATTTTTTTTTTTTTGCTTACATCCAATTTTTTGCAATCTTTGTTAACCCACCAGCACGATTGCTTAGCAACGATACTATTTCAATGTAATTTGGCATTTTAGGTTTGATTTTTGTAGTGCATGTGGTATTGGGAATCAAATTTTCGCGATATTGCTTGATGATTTTTTATTTTTTATTTTTTATTTTAAGAACTAATAGATTGTAAGCTATGATTTGGGGTAGTGAACTAATCAGATCTGAAGGCGGTGAAAATTATGCTATAATAACTTGATGAGAAAGGAACTACAACATGTTCATGGGTAGCTCCACACCAAATAAAGATTATATAACAAGTTGAAGAAAAACATGTCAAAACTCTTCAGAATCTTCACCGAACGTTGTATACCTGAGTTTTATAGGATTTTACAGATAATGATTGCTTTGTGTCATTGATAGAGCCTTCAACTGTGTGTTGTGTTATGTCGTCGATAGAGCATTCAACTTCGAGTTTGCATAGAGAAAGACTAAGAACGAAGAGAGAGAGATGACTGAGTCGTCAGACCTCACAAAGCCGTAGATGGTCGCGAGAGGATGAAGCCGCACGACATAAATTATTTTAGGAAAAATTTCATTCAGACCTCCTAAGGTTTGTACAGTTTTACGTGTGTACAAATTTTGNTTGTGTGTTGTGCTATGTCGTCGATAGAGCATTCGACTTCGAGTTTGCATAAAGAGAGACTAAGAACGAAGAGAGAGAGATGACTGAGTCATCAGACCTCACAAAGCCGTAGATGGTCGCGAGAGGATGAAGCCGCACGACATAAATTATTTTAGAAAAAATTTCATTCAGACCTCCTAAGGTTTGTACAGTTTTACGTGTGTACAAATTTTGGGGGGTTTGTATGTAATATTTCAAATATTATGAGAATTAAATGATTAAGTGATAAAATTCATGAAGACTGAGTGTAATTACCCCATCATTTTAAGGCAAAAAATGCCCAAAAGGCTTCTTTTTATACCATTTCGAATGACCAATCAATCTATACTAAACAGTCCGGGTTGAACAGTTTTCTCAAAAATCGCCCGTTCATTGTTTTAGCTATGATTCTTCAGTTTATTAGGTTAATTCGTCATGCCATATCAGGTTTTAAAACACTGATATGTAGTAGTGATAGAATGTGATGTACATTGGATGCAATTTGGGTTANCGAGTGTAATTACCCCATCATTTTAAGGCAAAAAATGCCCAAAAGGCTTCTTTTTATACCATTTCGAATGACCAATCAATATGTACTAAACAGTCCGGATTGAACAGTTTTCTCAAAAATCGCCCGTTCATTGTTTTAGCTATGATTCTTCAGTTTATTGGGTTAATTCGTCATGCCATATCAGGTTTTAAACACTGATATGTAGTAGTGATAGAATGTGATGTACATTGGATGCAATTTGGGTTATTGCATTTTTTAAAAAAAAAAAATCTAAATCTTTGTTTGTTTCTATGGGTTGCATGATTGAGTTTTGATTACTTTGTCTATATTTTTTTGGTGAAATAATTTTTACACTATCACGAAGGGTTTTGTAAACCTGACAAATGATAAATTCTAGATTGTATAAATTTTCATTCCCTTTCATAATGTGTTTTTCTTTCTCTTTTGGTTTTTGGAATCATTTGATAAACAAAGTAATTAGCTTGGTTTCAAATTTGGATTCTTTCATGTTTTTGTGGTATTTTGGGGAGTTCTTTGTTCATTTTTATGATAGTTCTAGTAATATAGATGATATGGTCGACGGTATATTTTAGGTCATTTTAAAAGAAGAATTAGTGTAAATGTTTTCGGGGCATTCTTTTTGAGTCAGGACAATTGCTTACTATTTTTTTGTTTTGTTATATAGTGTATTCAGACACGAGTAATGATTAGTTTATTTATATAATAACATATATCATAAAAAATAACTTTTATTTTTTACAGTTGATATCGTTTTAAATTTTATTTTAAAGTTAATTGACGGCTAATATTTACTCCCCAAATTTAATAGAAAAAAAAATAGGGGCCCTAANATTTTAAAGTTAATTGACGGCTAATATTTACTCCCCAAATTTAATAGAAAAAAAAATAGGGGCCCTAAGAGTTTGTTTCGGGTGACTTTTTAAAAGTGTTTCTAGAACTTATGACTTCTCACAAACACTTTAAAAAAAATAACGTTTGGAATTACTTATTTTAATTACTTCCAAATAAATTAAAAGAAATTTTACCATTTAAATAAGTAAGTAGGTAAAAGTAAAAAAAAAAAAAGAATTTCTACTTCTTTAAAATCACTTTTGTACAAAATACTCAACCACCACCACCACCGTGGTTGCTGCCACCCCATCATTACCCCCACCGCCCCACCATCATCATTATCACCACCACTGCCATTGTTGTCACCCCACCACCGCCTTTGCCATAACCACCACCACCACCACCATCATCACTATCGCCATCACCCACCACCACAATCGCCATCACCCACCACCACAATCGCCGTCGTCATCCACCACCATCGCCGCCATCTACCAACATGATCACCNCCATCACCCACCACCACAATCGCCATCACCCACCACCACAATCGCCGTCGTCATCCACCACCATCGCCGCCATCTACCAACATGATCACCTCATTTTTATATTTATTATCACTACCACTACCATTGCCCACCGCCACCCACCACCATAGTTCACCACCACCTGCCGTCGTCACTACTGTCACTGCCTATTGTCACCCAGCCCCACCACACCTACCTCTACCTACCATCATCACCTCTCATCGGCCACCATCTTCGCCGCCCACTGCCACCCACCACCATCATTCGCCACCACCACCGTCATCTACGAGCACCCCATTGTCGCCCCACCCACCACTCACATACACCACCACCATTGTCATCACTCACCATCACAACTTGCCACCACCACCACCACTGTTGTTGCCCCCTCATCAACACTGTGGCCCACCACTTTACCGTAGTCATTCATGCCTGTCACTACCACCATCGTCATCCAAAACCCACCATCACTATCATTGTTGTCACCCACGGTTGCCACCACCACCACGGTCATCGCTGTCCACCACAACCATCTCCGTCTCCCACCACCATCATTGTCGCCCACCGCTATTACAACCACTCACCCTTATTACAACCAGTGCTTAAATTTTTTCTTATCCCCTCTATATTTGTGATTTGATTTTGAGTATGAATATAAATATGTTTATGATTAATAATTTTAAGTATGAACAATAAATAGTGCTACTATAAAATGTCAAAAAAAGTAGAAAAAAAATTTGTTTGACTATAATATCCTTATTAAAAAAATTATGGTTAATAGCACTTTTGGTCCTTACTATATGCATTTTTTTAAGTTTAATTCTTATTGTATCAATTTTATTAATTTAGTCTCTAAAATATTCAATTCATGTCACTTTGGCCTCTAATTAGACAATCCGTTAAATTTTTTGATTGAAATAACCACATGTTATTTTTTTAGACGGCATCACAAGCGCAACACGTCCCATCAAAAATTTAATGGTTCGTTTGTATAAGGATCAAAATGATATAAATTGAATATTTTAGTAATCAAATTAACACAATTAATATAATAACGACTAAATTAATAAAAAATACAAACTTTATGGACTAACAGCACTAGTAACCTAAATAACTAATGTCCATATTAACCATCAATACTTGTTTAGTCATATCCGATTATCTTGCTTTGGAATTTTTATGCTTTTTTTTTACCCTAAATAATATCATAATTTCAATTCAATATCCTTGACTCAGCAACTTCTCTAACTGTTTTCAATTTGGTAGTTCATTAATACTAAAAAGTCCAATGGGTTCTTTCAACTCTTCCAATTCTAGCACTAAATACAACAATAAATATATACATATGTTTAGTTTAATTTTAATCGAGACCTTTCACATTCCTGAAACTTCTGCTTCCATTTTCTCCTTGAAGGTCATTGAAGCAAATCAAATCTGTTGGTCTTTCTATATGGTAATGATCCAATTTTTATTGGCATGTACTATAGCTCTGTGGCACTTATGATTGACTTTCAAGTATATAATAGGTATCTCGCAATCCATTGTCACAACTATTCATTTTGGGAGTAATTTTCTTGAATAAATAGGCAAATTCCAATAGATTTATAAGTATTCTTTTTTTGCTTTTTATC